TGAAAATTGCCCAGAAATCGTCTCCGGCCCGTTTGAAAATCTACTCCGTCTACCCCTTCTCTTTTAACTTTGTGAACAATGGCTAGCTCATCCAACCCATCGAACCTTTGCTTAGATTTGAGTCTAAGCAGTGATCCGGTCGCGTCTCGTCAGGGTAAGGTATGGTGCCCGTCTTTCTTATCTTCCCATGGCCCTCTTACAGATGAGGACTCTGTGATGACGGATCCCACAACGGCTACGATAGTGGCTCGGAACCTCCTCACTCCCAAAGACAGTCAGCTGCTTTCTGGACGGTCCGATGAGTTGGCCGTTCAAGAGTCCTTGGCTCTTAGCATTCAGTGCGCTGGCTCTGTGTCCAACATGGGCCAACGCCTTCTTGCTCGCTCCCGTCAGGTTGAATCCTTGATGGCGGAGGTGGAGAGTCTTAAGCAGGAGATCAAACAGCTTAAGTACGAGAACCGAAGTTTGCACGTGCTTGCCAACAATTATTCAACAGGCATGAAGAGGAAGCTTGATGAGCTTGATGACCGTCAACGGTTTGCAGCTTTCTTCCAGAGGCACCTCTTTCCTGGGTCATCCAGCGTTCCACCAAGGTTTGGGGCCTTGAATGATCTATCTTCGGTGCCTCCCGCTCCTATGCCTTCCGCTCCGATGCCTCTTGCTCCAATGCCTTCTGCTCCGAGACCTCCTGTTCCGATGCCTCCTGCTCCGATGCCTCTTGCTCCGAGAGTGTTGCCACGTAGTGGGGCCTCACTCACTCAACCTTTGTAAAGGCTCCATCTTTCTGCCATGTTTAGATACAATTGTAATTTATCGAAAAAAATCAATGAACAAGCAAAAGTTTTATTTACTGTATTGGGTTGCCTCCCAAGTAGCGCTTTCTTTTACGTCTTGCAGCCGGACGAAGAACCCAATCACTCCAGGATATGTTCACGAATCGGATGAGAACTCCGAGTCATGAACTAGTACCTAAAACAAGAAACAAAACAAATTTAAGAATCTAGAAAAATAAAAACAAACGAAAATAAAACAATCCAAGGGATTAGCAAAGTTGCTAATCCCCGGCAACGGCGCCAAAATTTGATGCGAGATTTATACGCACACAAATTAAACCCTCTTTTTGTCAATTGTAGTATAAGTATAAGTAGGGATCGTTCTAAACCGGGGATTAGGAGGGATTACTAAATCACTTGGAAACTGACTCAAAAATGTAAAAGAAACATTAAAACACTAAAACAAATCAAAAGACTCAAAGAATACAAAACACTTATAAACACAAACTAAGACACTTTCTAACTAAATTGGACACTAAAGTAAAGGGGGATTGAGATTTTGACGAAAATAAATTAAATGAACAAATTGTAATTTAAAGGTAGAATTTAAATATGAATGTGATGAAATATGGAATGAATGCTAGCTAAGGGGTTCTTCTCCACACATGTTATACTTGCATACAAGATTGATTCTCAGTTGGTCTTTCGATAAATTATGAAACTCAACACTCCGGATTAATTAGGTCCGCTTAAATTAACCGTCAAGTTTTCCTTAAGTTAATGAATTGGATGGGTTTGCGCAACGCAATTCACAACATTCTCCAAAAGTCCTTTACGTGAACAGCACAATAAAGATACAATCAAAGATCATTAAGTATTATGAAAACTATAAGTGTTGACGAGGCATTCGTTACTATGATGAGCATGAAACTCGTGCCAAGAATTCATTTAACGCGATTGTTTATAAGCAACCTCCACTACTTGTGAATATAAGTTCATAACGATTAGGTGAAAATCACTTATATTCTAGCGTCATATTTATGCATGAAAATTAAGCGCGCATTCTTAATAAACATTCATAAATAAGTTATCAATCAAACGGTTAAACAAATTGAATCCACAACTTATGAAATTCCAACGAAAGTTAATCAATTCATATTGCAAATATAAACATAGTTTCGAATCACCCCCTAGCTAAAGGGGGATTAGTTCCTCATACCTTTGAAATCAAAGAAACACCTAAACATTCCAACAACTCAAAACTTGAATTGTATGAACGTTTAAGCACTCTTCTCTTCCATTCCTTATACGTACAAAACAAAGAGAATTAAAATGAAACTTTGAAATCAAAGAAACACCTAAACATTCCAACAACTCAAACTTGAATTGTATGAACGTTTAGGCACTCTTCTCTTCCTCGTTGTTGTAGCACAAGGTTTAAGGATAGGTTGGTTGATGGGATGGAAGTGTGGAATGGAGTGGAAATGGAGAAAATGGAGAAGGGGAAGTGTTTGTGTATTACAATGGAAAATGAGATGATTTGGTGAATGGAATGAATGGGTATTTATAGGAAGAGAATGGGTGTTAATGGATGTTTGTTTAAGGTATTTGGTGGATGGGAAAAGGTGTGGATGGTGGGAATTATGGTGGATGGATGGTTTAGTGGATGTAATTTAGGGTTTATTTAGGTGAATGTGGATGCATGGTTTAGTGGATGTAAAGGATAATGGGATGGTGTGGAATTAAAAGCTAAAAAAATGGGATAATGGGCATTTAAGTGTGAATGGAATGGTGGGATGCACTAATGGAAATTATGGAATGGAATGGTGGGATGCACTAATTAGGAGGAAGAATTAGGGTGAAGGGCTTAATGCATGGATTTGGGCCAATTAGGGTGAAGGGCTTAATGCATGGATTTGGGCCAATTATGATGAAGGGCTTAATGCATGGATTTGGGCCAATTATGATGAAGGGCTTAATGCATGGATTTGGGCCTAAAATGCCCCCCCTTGCATGGCAAGGGAAAGGACTTGGGCTAAAGCCCATGACAATGGCTCTAAAATGGGCTAAGGTTAGGGTTTAGGTCATCTAAAAGCCCAAAGCCAAGAATAGAAACTCACGACAATGGAAACCTCCAAGAATAGAAACTTCCAACTTTAGAAACTTTGGTTACCAATTCCGACTTCCTTGCTCTTCACTTTCATTTCTTCATTTCTTAAGCTCCTTTGACCTTCAACCTCGTTCATTCCTCGTGCTCCATTTGCATACACCACATTCCAGCTCAGTTTTGCTCCAAAAGCTCCCAATTGCATCATTTCATGTAATATGTCCTTTAAACCTAAAAACACATGAAAGTAGCTTAAAAGACTACTTTAACGAATAAAACATAACAAAAATGCATAAGAACTAGCTAACTAAGGCGCATAAATATGCTCCTATCAGTCAGTTTAGTAGTTGCTGATAATAGGGATGTGGTTTGTAGGGACATTTGGAGATTGAAGGTTCCACCCAAATTATGTCATTTTATTTGGAAGGGGTGTAGGAACATTTTGACAGTGCGTATAAATTTACAGCGGCGGGGGATTTGTTTGGAGAATACTTGTCCTTTTTGTGAAGATGAGGTGGAAACACAAGTACATATTTTCTTTTGATGCCCATTTGCTCGTGCTTTTTGGTTTGGTTCCCCGCTTCAATTAGATGTAGCTATGGTGGCAGGGGGTATTTTTTGGAATGTTGGAAGTGGTTATGTGCAAATATGGTAAAGAGGGGGGGGGGGGCTTGTGACCTAATGCGATGGGTCGTTGTTAGTCTATGGAGGATATGGAAATGTTGTCACAGCTTGGTGTTTGAGAAGGTTGCAGTAGAATCCCTTCTCGCCATACAATTACTTAAACAACAATGGGAGGAGTTGGTGATATGTGACGAAGCACAGGTGCAGTAATCTCCACGTGGGCAGCAAGTGAGAAGAAAGGGCTCTCACGGGTGGATCAAGCCACCTTTTGGAACTCTTAAAATTAATTGTGATGGTGCTTGGTGTAGTCAGATGGGTATAGGTGGTGTTAGGTGGGTGGCTAGGGATTTTGTGGACATTTTCAATGGTGTTGGTGGTATTGGAAAAATTCCTTGTGTCTCAAGTTTTATGGCAGAAGGGGAAGCAATGAGGGTGGCTTAGGTGGCTTGTGTGGAGAGAGGCTTTACCTCTATACAATTGGAGACTGACTCCCAGGTTCTTGTTGATATTATTCATGGCCGTATACAGCCGGAGGCAATTTTGGATGGTATCTTGTGGGATATAAGTATTTTAAAGCAACAATTTGAAGCTATTGAGTTTTTATATGCCCCTCGTGCTTGTAATGAGGTTGCGCATATGGTGGCATCTTATGTCGTGCGTAGGGGGGTAGTCATTCTTGGGTTTTGAACCGCAGTGGTTGTTTAACACTTTGACATCTTATGTAAACATTGCGATTCGTTTTTAATATTATTCCAACTTTTGGCAAAAAAAAAAAAAATCCCGATAATTTGATCTTCATTAAATTGATGAGCCGACAATCATGTGATCTATCCTGCTCCCAAAACGATGTCCAATCATACATTTTGGTCCCACAGCTGGAAGTGTGACTTACATGAAGCCTAGAACTGGATCACACGTTTGTTTCGTCATTAATTTAACAATGATGTAATTAGTTTTGCAAAAACGTCAATTAAACCTTTTTTTATTAATACAAATAATATTTACACTAAAGATGTGGAATTTGGATTTGGCCTCACAGTGTGTCAACTATAATAATGTGATGGTGAACTTGCCATCAACGAGAATCGAAGTTATAACCTAAGACATACAAATAGAGAAGAATATTACTACATCATAATACTAAGTAACAACCTCAATAAAAGTTTAGTATGTATTTTGTTTTTATTATGTTTTTATATTAATTCCATAATATTTGAATTTTCTCAAACCAAAAATGAATATATAAAAGGGCAAGTTGTTTGGTTCTCTCATTGGGCTTTTGTTTCTTTTCATTTTTTGGTTCTGTATCTACGAATCCACAGCCTTCGCTCCCCTCACTCCCCCCAATCTCTCGTTTGCCCTAAACACGCATGCACATTTCCTACATAAAGCTACTCATTTGCCCACATACTCTTACTCTCCCCAAACCCCTCCCTCTCTCTCTAACTTCTCTCTCTCTCTCTCTCTCTCCACCCCCCCCCCCCCCCCCCCCCCCCCCAATCACTCTGTTTGTATCTACACCACAATCACACTTGGTTTATAGACAGACTCTCACTTGTTCTTGGGTTCTGTTGTGCCATGAAAATGCCATCTTTGATAAAACCCAGGCTCTAATTTGATGAGATTTTGTTGGGTTTTACAGGGCGTCTCAAGGTGCTCCAATGGCAGACAGCTTTGACTCTGCCACCTCAAACCTTCTACGTGCAGACAACTCGAATACCTGCTTTGATGATCTTGATTCTAATGCCACAGATGACTTGGGGCACTCCCCATCAATTTCCCACAAAAACAATCAAGACCCCAATTTTGATCACAACCGTAGATCTAAGTCCACGATCGATTTTCCATCACAGAGTGAAGAAAGTGTGACTGAAATGGTTAAGAGGGAGAGTCAGCATTTGCCCACACACGATTATCTGAGGAGACTGCGTTCTGGGGAATTAGACTTAAGCACTAGAAGGGAGGCCCTTGATTGGATTTGGAAGGTTGGTGGAGTTTTTACCCTCTTCTGCTCCATTGGGTTATTGTATTTACTTCCAATGATTTTGCATTTTTACTGGTTTTTGCGATTGCTATTCAGGTTTCTGCAATTGGGTTTTGTTCTTCAAGAGCTTCTTAAAACATTTTTTTACAATCATGGCGTCTGTTCCTTATCTGATTTTCTGTGGCATCTCATTTGTGTTCTAAATTTGGATGTTGGCTTATGTTTCTCTCATTTTGATTGCCAATGTATAGACTTTCGGTTTTCATGATTACTGAATTAGGTTGAATTGTTGTGTGTTGTGATCAACAGGCTCATTCCCATTACAGTTTTGGGCCATTGTGTGTTTGGCTATCTATGAACTACTGGGATCGCTTCCTTTCGCTTTATGAATTGCCTGTAAGTTTTGGTATTAGACCGAAAATTTGCTTCTTTTTCTCATTTCCTTTGTATACAATGTGTTCTCATTTATGCTGCTCCTGTTCTTGATTTTGTACTTCACTTTTCGTGTCAATACAGAGAGGTAAAACTTGGGCGGTGCAATTGCTAGCCGTGGCTTGTTTATCAATAGCAGCCAAAGTAGAAGAGACTAATGTACCTCAGTCTGTGGACTTACAGGTATAGAAATCATGTGCTTCGATAACTATGGTTGGACTTGCATTTTGAAAATTCGGAAGCTGGTATTGATTATGTGTTTTGATTGTGCACAGGTTGGAGATCCGAAGTTTGTGTTTGAAGCAAAGACTATACGAAGAATGGAACTACTTGTGATGAGCACCCTAAAATGGAGAATGCAAGCTTGTAGTCCTTACTCTTTCATTGACTACTTCCTCGGCAAGATAAGTGATGATCAACATCCATTGACATCGTCCATTGGTAGATCAGTACAACTCGTTTTGAGCACAATCGGAGGTTTTTTTTTTTACTCTGTGAAGAGTTATATTCTGTACTTTGATGTTCTTGAGTATTTGAATTCAATGAACTTTGGATGGGAATGAATGCAGGTATTGACTTTTTGGAATTCAGGCCTTCGGAAATTGCTGCAGCAGTTGCAATTTGTATTTCAAGAGAAATACAAGCACAATCAGTAGACGTCGATAAGGCCATTTCTTGTTTCGTACATGTAGACAAGGTAAAAAGGTTGTTCCAGAGATGCAAACCCTTGACAGGACAAATTTGCTTTAGCTCTTAGAAAGTTTCTTGGATATTATTTGATTTTTCCCAATGTAATGGTTTTTGAAGGTTTTCTGTTTGTGGGACTTTCAGGAAAGAGTGTTGAAGTGTATTGAACTGATGAAAAATTTGTCATTGATCAGCGGTTCCGCCAATCGGGGAAGCGCCTCAGGTCCATCGGTGCCCCCAAGTCCGAATGGGGTGTTGGATGCTGCATGCTTGAGCTGTAAAAGTGATGAATTTATAGTTGGATCATGTGCAAATTCTTCACATAGTAGTCCAGACATTAAGAGGAGGAAACCAGACAACCAGTCATGAGATATGAACTTTTCTCCTTCACACCCCAACCAATCAGTTTGGTTGAATGGGAAGTTTTGGAGGTTCCCTATAGCATTAATAAACAGAGAGAGAGAGAGAGAGAGAGAGAGAGAGAGAGAGAGAGAGAGAGAGCCACAGATTTGAAATGTGGTGAAGATCCAATCATCCAAAGGGTTCGCAATCACAACATTTTGAAAGATATGTTGGTGGTGTTTAGCGAAATACAGTTTTGTTTTTGACCTTTTCCCTTCAGTGACAACTCTAGATCAATAAAATTTTACACCCGAAGTCTCGAATTTGATTTTTACAATTTATCAGTAATGCCTGTATATAAAAATAAATAAATAAATAAGTAAAAACTAGATGCATGAATTTAAAATTTGACAAAACTGTGTCCAATTCTGAATATTAAAATGGTGGCAAGTGTTGTGGAGTGATGAGCAGTGTCCGTTGCTATTGGGATTGGCAATGTGGCAGTGGGGTGTTGATAAATCCCATCCCACTGGCTGTATTTGGAGGGCCACCATTATTTGTTTTGAGTGGTGACCGGTCAAAATCTGAGCATCATGCGGTATTTGTAGTCATGATGAAAGACTGGTCCAAACATAATCTTGGGAATGAACCCTTTGCAAACCTAGATAAACAATTGTGGATTAGGTTGGTTGGTTGGAGTAGTGTTCGAGTGTTTCATTAGACTTGAGTTCAAACCAAATTTTAAATAAAAATATTTAAGATGATTTCTGACCGCACGATGTACGATGAACGGACATGATTCAGGGATTCCTAGAATCCTCACAAAGAGAATCCAGCAAGATCTGGATTTGAGTTCAAATATCTCCCTTATTGACTAATAATATTAATGAGAACGTGCCATATATTGGGTGAGAGATTTTCAAGTCTTAAGAGATTGAAGTCAACTTATTAACGATTTTTAAGTCCTAAGAGAGTGAAAAATCCGGAAATTCTAAAATTTTTAGAGGAAGAAGATGAACATTGGTTCAACTCTTCCACTCTCGACCTGATCAAGTACAAGTAGAATGCTAGGTTTTCGGGGATGTTAGCTACACTGTAGGATTCATCTCAGGGAGCTCAATCCAATGGAGTTCAATGGAACGACATTGGACTGCCACAAGGCGGCGCGTGGGCCGTGTTTATGGGACATAGCTGAGGAGTAAATCATTGCGGTTTACTAACCTACGTAGGTGTATATTTAGTTTTGGTATTTGAGACGTTTTTAATTTACTAATTTTAAGTAGACGTTTTTAATTATAACCTTTTTTTTTCTTTAAAGATAAAAGTATCCAACACATGCCAAAATTTCAGGAAAGTAAAAAAGAGATAATATCGATCAAATTTGCTCATGTTGATTGAGCATTTTAAATTAGACAGGAATATTTTTTATGAGAATATTTAAAAATGATTACCTAATTAATAAAAATTGGATTGATGTTCAATAATTGTCACTTCTTACTTTATGTGGTGTCTAGGAAAAATCTTGTTACCAATTGTCTCCCTTTTTCCGACACTAGTTTAAGGAGACACTTTGGGTGTCAAAGATGGGTTTTTGAGATAAACAAATGTAACATGTGTAATTAATAATGTCATAAATTATTTCACTCTTATAGAAAGAAATAGCTGCCAAAAATATTGTTGCCAATTTAACCAAAGGAGAAAAACTGGTTGGAACCAACTATGATATTTAGTTTCCAACGAGGTAAGGGAAAGAATATTCATCAAATCTCTCTCTCCCTCTTGTTTTTGGGTAAAATCTGAAATTAGGATGTAATTAACGGAGGAGTATAATTGACACACCCCGTCCCGAAGGAGGGCATGCTGGCCGTCACGTGAGAGTGACGTAACCATTTACACAGTTCGGAAGCGTTAAAATATACAACTTCTAAGATGAACCACCCGAAGGTGAGTCCTAATTTGGTCCATTCTGTCAGAACACCGTTGAATTTCCTCGTAGTCACCACACCTTTACAATTCTTAAACCTGGAGGGGCGCAAAACCAAAATTGAGTGGGTCAGTAAAACAAATCTTTTCCAAATCCAAACACTTCTCAAAAACTTTGTAACCCTTCTCCGTAAAACTTGTATACTTTCCCAGAAAATAAACATATATACGTATGTATAGATATGACAATCAAGCTCAAGGGTATGCCAATTATGCTCAAGATATGCCAATCATACTCACAGGTATGCCAATCACACTCATCGGTATGCCAATCATACTCACAAGTATGCCAATCACACTCACAGGTATGCCAATCATACTCACATGTATGCCAATCAAAGCCTCATAATGATATGCAAGTGCTCAGGTATAAACCATATCAATAACATATTACTGGCAGCCGGAGTCACCTAAAGTGACCTGTACGGCTGAATCTAGAGCTCAAATCTCAATCTCAATAACTAAACAACTGAACCTGCCCACGAGTCGAAACCACCTAAAGTGGTCTGTACGACAGGCTGTGTATGCTTTAGTGCTACGATCACGTGAAGCTGGGCGAATAATCGCGGGTCACCTACGAGTCGGAACCACCTAATGTGGTCTGTACGACAGGCTGTGCACCTAGCTTGGATCCAAGCTGAGCATAAGGTGCGGGGAGGTGAACATCACGTGAAGGCTGTGCCCTGCTCAAGGCGGGAGCACTCATACTGGGGGTGCAGGTTATAAGCTCTCTATCACATCTCTATCATATCATTCTTCATATCTCAATCATATCTCATGATCGTTATCAGCATAATATCTCAATCATATTTCGATCATATCACAATCATAATTCATTTGTATTTCCATAGTATTTCAATCGTATTCCAAACGTATTTCATACGTATATCAAATGTATATCAAATGTATATCAAATGTAGCTTACCTGGGCCTCCTCAGCACCATGCAACAGTATGCATAATTATGGTAATGCACATATTAAAATACGATGCATATATGACAGGATATTTAATTCGTATTTTTTTTAAAATACGTTTTCTGGGAAATACGTCAAGCATACGTATATATACGAAAAACAAAACTACCCACTCACAGATCACATCGACGTCTCGTAGGTCCCTGAGCCTCCCCTATATTGGTTACATTCTTCTTCTGTATAATTTTCACCTATACAAAAAGTAACCAAATTGACGTTATTTAACGCACATACACCAAACATTCGTCAATAACTTTCTCATACGTTGCTCAATTTGGGTATGTGAATATACCATGGTGATCTACACGACGTCACGAACACGTGACAATTTTTAGAACTCAATTTGGAGCTCTCACGCGCCCTCACGCGCCCTGTCTACGCGCTGCCCACGCGCGCGTCTTCTTCCTCGCGTCGCCGGACTGGTTTCGCCGGAGGTGGGTGTTTTGCCGGAATTTCTAGGTAAACTTCAAAGTGTCATAACTTCTTCATTTCTTAACCATTTTCGACGTACTTTATATCAAAATGAAGGTATTGACGAGACGAACACATCCATACCTGCCTCGACCCCTAACTCACAGTGGATTCGCCGGAAAAAGCCTCGAAAGCTTTGGCCAACTTTGAACCAAGCTATCCCGACGTCCAAATTTGTCCAACGAAGCACTCCGAGGCTTCTTGGGACCTCACTAAGACATCTACAAGCTTCAAAATCCCAAAAACATGCTAGATTAAGTTTGCATGAATAGTACCAAAATCGGACTACCTCGAATCGACATGAAAACGAAGGATTTCTCACCTGAAAATGGTATTGTTGCACTCGTACGAGCTTCACGAGTTCGAAGGTGTCCTTAGTTTCCTCGATCTGGGATGGTTTGAAGGGTTTTGGGTTTGTCCGTACAAGCGTGAAGGAAGAAGAAGAAATGGGAGCTCGGGAGAGAGAAAGAGAAAAGTGACAGAAAAGAGACAGAGGGAGAGGGAATCATGGGAGAGATAGAGACAGTGTGTGTGTGAGTGTGTGTGTGGTCCAACACATGCCACACCACACAAAACAACACTAAACGTAAATGTAACGAACTAAGGGTAAAAAGGTAAATTCACACGTACGTTTTTATAATCTCGGGACGGGATGTCACAATCTACCCACCTTAATAGAATTTCGTCCCGAAATTCAAAACAACCAAATATAACCCCTAGTGATCGAAGAACAATCTAGGATACAGATCCCTTATCCGATCTTCTGTCTCCCATGTAGCTTCCTCGATTGAATGATTCCTCCACAAAACTTTCACTAAGTTCACCGTCCTGTTCCTCAGAACCTTCTCTTTCCAATCGATGATCGTCACCAGTTCCTCGTCATACATCAAATCTAGATTAATTTCCAACGGTTGAGGAGGTATCACATGCGACGGATCAGCAACATAATGTCGGAGCATAGACACGTGAAAAACGTTATGCACTCTAGCCAACTCCGGAGGCAACTCCAACCTGTAAGCTACCTCACCGACTCGTTATGTGACCATGTATGGTCCAATGTACCTGGGACTCAACTTCCCCTTCTTTCCAAACCGCACGACACCTCTCCACGGTGAAAGCTTCAAAAATACCCAATCTCCGACCTCATACATTTTGTCCATAGCATGTCGATCTACTAAACTTTTCTGCCTGTCCTGAGCTACTTCCAGGTTAGACCTAATTACCTGAACATTATGAGTAGTCTCCTCGACAATCTCCGGACCCACTAAAACTCTTTCTCCAACCTCATACCAACACAACGGTGTGCGACAAGCTCTGCCATACAAGGCCTCAAATGGCGCCATGCCAATGCTCGAATGAAAACTGTTGTTGTAAGCAAATTCCATCAAATCTAACCGCTGGTGCCAAGCATCACTGAACTGTAGCACCGAAACTCGCAGCATATCTTCCAAGGTCTGAATAGTTCTATCTGACTGTCCGTCTGTCTGTGGATGATATGCCGTACTGTAAAGTAGTCTCGTACCCAAAGCTTCCTGAAAAGCCACCCAAAGCTTAGAAGTGAATCTAGGATCTCAATCCGAAACAATACTTACGGGAATTCCATGATACTTCACCATCTTAGTGATAAATAGCTCAGCCCATTTATTCAGTGGATACTTTTCTCTCACTAGAATAAAGTGCGCCGACTTAGTAAATCGATCTACAACCACCCAAACACCATCATAACCATTCTATGTACGAGGAAGCTTGTACACAAATCCATAGTGATATGTTCCTATTTCCACTGTGAAACGGGAAGTGGTTGCATTAAACCAAACGGTTTCTTCCTTTTTGTTTTGACCTGCTAACAAACTGTACACCAACTGACATACTCTGCAATTTCTCT